TTTTTTTTTTTTCTTTTTTTTTTTTTGTTATCTCGCATAAAGGAAGAAACGATAAAGAAATGATAGAAGAAGAAGAAGAAGAAGAGGATGAAGAAAGAAGAAGAAAAGGAGGAGATTGACATAGCATTTGCTAATTTTAAAATAATTCAAAGTTATTGGATCAGTTATAAGATGTGGACAATTACCATTACCATTAATGTCGCAATGCAGGTTCCTTCTACGAAATAAATTAAACTTACTTGAAAAATTAGTCAAATATTGCTTTGTTAAAAATTATCATCCTATCAGTATTTTCAAGAAAAGAAAGAAAAAGATGGATACATTTTCCTTTCCTCTTTCTCTTCCTTTTTTTTTTCAAAAAAAAAGAAATCTTTATATTTTGACAGTCATTTGAAAATTTTTACAAACTCGCAAATTATCATCTCATTTAACAATATCTATTTATTGGCAACATTAAAAAAAAAAAAAATAAATAAAACAAAAATAAAAACAAAAGGAAAAAAAAAAAGAAAAAAAAATGAAAAGAAAAATTAAAAGTAATACCTAACTGATACAATTTCCTACACTACTACTTAACAAATTGAAGAAAATTCAACGAAAATGAATGTTGTTTGAGAGAGAAAAAAAAAGTTACAATCTATTGTTAAAAATTTTTTTTTAAAACTTCAAACATTTCCTTTTTTTCTCTCTCTCTCTCTCTCTCTCTCTCCTTCTTACTCATATTAATGAATAACCAATGAACAACTCTATATCAATCTTAAAGAGTAAGCATTTTAGTAATGAAATTGTTCATTTTCAATGACTGAGCAATAACGCACACTTTTTGTGAAATGCTATTATAGTACAACTTCTTCGGTAAAGGGATGATGATGATGATGATGATGATGATGATGATGATGATGATGATGATGATGATAGAGATGACGTATCAACAAATCTGTCAATTTTCATTTTCTTTTCTTTTGAAAGAGAACAGTTTAGATTGGCAGATGAGGAATAGTTTAAAGAAGTAAATGAAATGAAAAGAGCGGGGGATGAGTAGGGGACAGGAAAAAAAAAAAAAACGAGAATATGCGGTGAGAATACATTTGATGACCACCACACAAATAAATGTCACTTTTTTTTTTAAAAAAAAAAGAAAAGAAAAGAAAAAAACAAACCTATTTATGTATGCATAAAGTTTCATATAAATAATGTATGAATATGAATATATATCAATTTTTTAAAAATGATTTATATGCATAATAAGCAAAAATTTTATTTTCATCTAAAAAAAAATTTTTTTTCGTAGTTTTATTGGCTTTAAATCTAAAGCATCCATTTTTTTTTTCTTTTTTTTTTTTAAACTAAAATCAAGAAAAAAGAAAATACATATATGAGTTTCAATTATATTTATTGAAAGGAAATATAAATTGTAATAAATAACAAATATTCACTAATCTATATTATTTGAATAAAACAATAATGATAGCTTCATTACTGATAAATGATTATGTTAATTACTTATCTGTTATTTATGCATATCTTTTAAACTACAAAGGCAAAAAGAAAAAAGAAAGAAATAAAAAAAAAAAAAAAAGGAGAAACAAAAAGTTGTTAGTAACAACAATGATCGGTATTTAATTTCTTAACAATTTGGAACATTTACCCGAAAGATTGAACGAAAGAACTGGTTTTTCTTTGAATGAATGAAATTGTTTTATTTGTGAATATTTTGAAAAGCCTTTTAAAGAATGGTTAAAAAAAAAAAAAGAATTTGCAGGTAAGAAAAATTATTTTACCAAATGGATTTTTATATCCTCAGGGAAATAAAAAGAACAATGAGTGAAATGATTAATCAAACAAATGAACGTTTTGAATTAACAATTTGTTTGTTTAATAAAGTACCAGTAAACAATGTCTATTGATACTTAAAAATTACGAAAAAATATAAGGAAATTGAGCGAGAGAGAGAGAGAGTAATAATGTTGAAAAGTTATAAATTACTGTCACCATTATTATCATTACCATTATCATTATCAATCATTATCATTGTTTAAATTAAGATTTTCAAAGTAATGGAGGAATAAAGTATGAAAGTAGTAAATGCAACAGTGCGGATAGAATGGAGGGTAAATTCAGATAAGAGGTGGGAAGGTTTTCGAAACGTTGGAATGTGCTTTGAAGAATCTGTAAAGGCGGGGGACAAAATAGGAGTGGAGGTAAAGGTTGTTGATGCTGAAAGAGGAGGAGGAGGAGGAGGAGAAAGAGGAGAAGGTGGAGGAGGAGGAGGATGAAATACAGGTGCTGGAATGTCATCATCATGCGATGATACATATGTCGTCCACCTTCACCCTTACCTCTTTAAACCCCCCCCCCCCTCCCTCCCCCCACTCCTCTCCTTCTCCCCTCCATTTCCAATTCTCATCTCTTTTAACCTTCATATCATCCATCCAATGGCCAATTGAAATGAAATGGGTGATGCGACGATACGGCAAAAATTTTCTGAATTAGGCCGTGACCAATGACCACATTAAACACAGAGCCAGTGGAACGTTTCGGTACGTACACGTAGTAATATATTGCTCCTCTTCCTCTCTCTCTCCCTCTCCCTCTCCTTCTTGCTCTCCCTTTTCCTCCCTTTTTATTCCCGGATAAGGTGAAATACCCACTTCTTGCTTGAGCGCAACATTCCCTCTTCTCATCATAGCAATCCTTTCATTTCTTCTTCATCATCTGTCTCCTTTTACTACCCAATCATTATTTCTCATGAAATTTTAGTTCAAATTTCACTTCACAATATCTCCTTCTCTCTTTATCGTTTGTAACTATACTTATACCATATAACCACCCTAAATTTTCTTATTATTATCGGTTTTTTTGTCATCTCTTCGTATCTCCTATACAACTATCATTTCCTTTCCTTTTTCCTTCCTTGTATTCCTTTTTGATTTCTGTCATGTCTGTCTCCATTTAATCTTTCATTTGTCTCATGTTATCTCTTCTTTTCCACACCTTTATTAGCACCAAATTCTCCTTAACTGTATGCAAACTTTAAGATGACATACATACCTTGAAGTCTTCCACATAACTGTCATTTTATCTGCATTCTAATTGTTTACTAATGGTTCCGACTATTCCTTTTCTGATGATTAAATTTTTTCGATATCTCATGGCGCAAAATTGATGTATGTTACCATTTTAACTCGCTAATCGATATTTAAAAAGTATCCCTGGAATTGTTGATAATCATTTAATGTTTAATTTTATTACAGAATGCTCCTATCATAAAACGGATACCACCTGTTATCACCAATCAGTGTTATAGGTTAAAAGATGGCAATTTCAAAAAGAATATAATACAAGTAGCTTTGATGAATCAAATGTTGAAGATTCAACAAGCAATAACTTTACATCATTTAACATTTCAAACATATTTAATTGATGGTCAGATGCGATTAATAACATATTCGAAATGTTGCTATCCTAGCAAGCATTCCAATGATAAATCATTAAAATTATCATTCTCATTCATTTAACATACTATATCATTTCAATTAATTCAACATCACATTTCAATCGTTTCAATTGTTCCACTCTCAAAGAAATTGCAAATACCAATCAAATAATGCTTCTTTATAATCTACCCGCCCATTAAGATTATCCGGTTAATCTCGGATCATTTAATTTCCGCTCATTATCATCAAACATCAATGTATCCATTAGCTTGATTGAGACATACAAAAATAATTCATTCATTTATCCGTATCGTAATATTAACACCACTTCTAATCGAAATTATAATTTAATTTTTAATGTCGGTAAAGAATTAATGCTGAAAGAAGTGCTAAATATAACCAGATTCTTTTCTGTGTACTTTTTAAAATAATTAACAATTTATAGATGAGAATTTTATTATTTCTGAAATTTGTCGCACAATTATCATCAGTATTATCGTCATTGTCATCTGTTGTTCACACTATCATTGCCATTATCACTATCATCAGCTGTTATTATTTATCATGTCATTACAACCACTGCAATCATCCTTATCATTATTGCTTTTATCTCAGAATTTCTTCAACCTTATTTGTACCCACAAATTCCTGAAATATCATTATAAATGTTCTTCCTAGCGTTATGAAGACAGCAACAAATAGTATGTAGTACATTTTTAAAAAAAATAAAACCTTGAAATCTTCATGGAAATGGGGAAAATTACTTGATCAAAATATACCGGATCCGGTTGATATTACATGACAACTCTCGTCGCTCAGCAACACGATTATACCATTTAAATGAAAACTTTGAAAGAAATGGTAACAAAAAATATGTATTATATATATTTTTTTTTTTGTTTAGAGGGGCAATTTATGGTTTTAACCCGTTATTGTCAAATTTGCTGTTTAAGTTTGATAAAGCTTTAGAAAAAAATAATCGAATTATTGATATTTCAGGTGGAGTAATCTTAAAATCCAAATTATTTCCTCTCAGTCAATTATCATTTAATAATGGCAGATGAAAGAAGTGAAAATAAGCGCATTAATGGAAAATGATGAAAGTTAAAAAAATAAGGGTAACTTACTTTTTATTTACTTTGCTAAAATTCAAAAACTACAATATGCTAAATTTATGAAATAAGTTAATCTATCTTAAGCGTAACCTATCTTACGTGTATATCTAACATAAAATATTTTACTTTTGAAAATGTTTATGTTTTATGAAGTAAATTTCACTCTGGGATGGAAAATTTTCACAGGCGTAACATCCATAAAATATGAACGAATTATTTCGTATTTGAAAGTGGTTTCTGATTTCTTGTTGTGTTGGATTGTTGTCTATTCTTTTTTTCGTTGTTTCTTTTTTGTTATTTGCATTAGTATTGGAAAGAAAAAGAAAAATGTGTTTAGAAATAAAAAAATAAAAATTTCATTACTTACCTATGATATTTTGGTATTGATTAGTGCAGTGCTATTTATGAAAAAAAAAATGAATTTTAAGCGTGTGAAAGCGTCAAGGAGATGGACAAGAAACGTAAGGAACTGTGTGATGATGCAGTTGAACCACCGAACGAAATCGAAAATATTGATGTATATGCTCTTTTGTGTTTACATTTGAAAAGTTTACAAGTTTAAGTAATTTCAAAAGAAACACATATTTCAAATTTTTTCAAGAGATATTTTAAAAATAAAATACAATCAAATCTGGGAAGAATGAATAATTGAAATGAAATCCTTGTAACTTCAAATGAAATACGTAAGTTAGCCTTTTCTTTTGTTTTTATTTATTTTTTTTTTCTTTTTTTGTTTTTTAAGATTAACTCTTCGTTGCATTCTGCACATTCCGACGAAATAAAACCGAAGCGTGTTACATTCGAGGCTGATGTCTTAAAAACAGATCTGGAAACGAAGTATCTCTGCTTGTTTCCCGAAGAATTCTTTCTTTTCTGGAAGCATGTCCAGAAATTGACGGGAAAAGATGGCGATCCATGTGGCAAGTTTTTATATCTGGAAATCTCTGTGCAATTTTTTGTTTGTTATGACAACCGTTTCAACGGATCAACTGATGATATCTTTTATTGATAGCATTTTCCTGGTCTTTAAAAAAGGTATCACTAATTGCTTTCTTGACCCACCTTATCAGTACTTACTTCCTCACCACATTTTGTTATTCTAATAATTAAATCATGGAGTGGTTGATGATATGACTTTATGTTATTGATTCATGCAAAGAAAAAACTCATACTTCTAACATTTCATTGAATAATTTCCTTGAATCCTCCTTTTATGTAGATTTTTGATGATTAATACAACTGGTGACAGTACTGAGTAGTGTATTTTTCGGTTTGCAGTTATCATATCACTAAGAGTATATAGCTGGATTTATAAATGATTATTTGAAAACTAGTCGGAAGTGTAAGTGAATTTCCTCTCGTCATGTCAAATATATAAATATAACTTACTATAAATATTGTTAATATAAGTACAAGTCTTATGTTTCTTATTGTCTTAACCGATAGCCAGTGGTTACAGTGATCTTCTGTTCTACTTACGTCCCTTTTTTCGTCAATCATTTGGTCGAAATTAATTAGGTGTTGTGGTTAAACTATGCCCTATGAAAACATTTATGTGGGATTTCATTCTGTTGGATTTTTCAGGTGTTTATGGGAATTTAAAATGTTTACGACTTTGTGGAGTATTTGATTATCTTGCCGGACATTTCAAAGATGCAGATACGGAAAAATATTTGTTGCACGACAGGTTTGCTACCGACTTGCCAGAAATGCAAACACTGGCGGTGTATGATAATGGTCGATATGTCTATTGGAGGTATATCATTATTTTTTGTTTATAACTACATAACTTTTCTCAAACACTGTTATTCTTCATAACTGATTTAATCCATTTGTTAAGTAATCATGAATTATATTTGAAAAAATCAGTAAGATTGAATATTTTTTTGGTTTTTATGTTTTCATGCAATACCATAAAACTTGGCTCAGACATATTTTTGACGAAGTTCCAACCAATTCCCGTATTATCCTAGTTGTAGACTTATTAGCAATAAATGAATAAATAGTAGTGATCCTGGTTTTTAGCGTAGATCATCCTTTGAATTAAATGCGATGTATTCGCCATGCCTGTTGTCATTTACTTGGATTCTTAAATTTTCTTTCAGTGAGAAAAATTTTGGTTTTTAGAGATGAACCTAATACTGAAAAACCTTTAATTGTTCATGTGGACAATGCCGAACATTATCCAAAGTGCGTTATCGTTGGTGCTGTTGATCCTTTCTACATGATTGCACATCTGGTCGGGAAAACTTTGCGAGTTGAATACCGAAACTTTTTTTCGAAGGATTGGATTGGTGAGTCAGTGTTACAGAAGTTTTTAGAAAAACTACAAATAGTTTTCTTTTTGACAGTTTAGTGAAATTTGTCTTTAGAAGGCTATAAAATGCTCACTGCCAATGTGAAAAAAATTGCTAAATCACGCAACAGCGAAACTGTTGGTCTTCCATTTCATGGTATGGGAATATATGTTAAGATCGTTAATGATGTTGGATATAGACCATTAAAGGAAAAAACAGGTTTCTTATTCAATTATTATGAAGTTGTATCACGAGGAAAATAATCGTCATATAAGATTTCGAATCTGTTTAAAGCTTAGGTTCTTTTCAAATGCTGGAAAACATTTTGGGATGGGTTTTGGACATGATTATTTGGTTTCTTTAACGAAATAGTTTTTGTTTCAGAAGAATTGAAGAACCTTTGATCTTATTTTAGGAGAACTGAAAAACATAATAAATTTAGTGGCTACTACAGATAATGAAGATATAAAGCAAAAGAAAATGGAAAAAATAACGGAAATCGTGAGCTGCATTCAGGTAGTTTTTCAGAACTCATACATATTCACATTAATGGTATTTATTAGCCGTCCTTTTATTTCCAAATTTTTTTCATTTACAAAATTAGAAAGAATTAGGTCGTAATCGAATTCACTGCTTATTCTAGTAAGTTTTAGTTTGCAAATGACGAGAAGGATTTCGGGATGGGTTTAGAATTCGGACATGATATATTTTGGTCTAATCATAATTTCTTTGATAAAATGGCGGAAAAACTTTTGATAACGGCTTACAAATTGCTGGATCGTCAAGCATTTGCTCGTATCCTAGAGGTGCATATGCCTGTTCGTCGAAACATTCCTGATTTGTAAAATGTAGAATTACTTGCAAACTTATTTTTCTTTTGGTCTCATTATCATTGTTTATGCCATTGCCTGATACGTTTCACCGCTCATCTTCACTTTCTAGTTCGAGCCGTATTCTTGCTACGTTTGCCACGATAGCATTAATTTTCTTCTTTTCTTTTTTTCAACGGCATCATTTAGCTTCTAGAATCATCATTTAGCTTCTAGAATCTATTATTTGTCCCACATTAGTAGTGAACTGTATATCGATCGAAAATGTTCGAATCCATTTTAATTATTGCATCGTTTTCTTCACCTTTTAAACCACTTCTTTTGAATTGCTTGATGTAATTAATATCAATATCCTCGTTTTTAAGATAATTTAAAATGTCATAATCATACAAATTTTTTGTTTCTGTACGTAATAGTTGAATGCTTAATTGTAAAAAATTGCTTTATCTTCAGAAGTTTTAAAGATCGGTTAAAAGGTAAGTACATTCAACAAATACTTTTGATGTTTCTATATTGGTATAGTTGTGATTTTTATCAGATTGAAATCATCGTTGTTTGCTGTTTTTTTCGGATCCTTATTTTGAATACCCGAACCTGAATGTCGTCTTATCCCATCTTATCAGTTCAACACAATTCTAGACACTCACGCTTAGTGATTTCCAATTTTATTCGTATCGTATAACAGCTCACTGTTCCATTAAGGAAACTTTTTGTCATTTATCATATTTGTAAGAAATAAACAGGCAAATTTTTATTATTTACATAGCTTTCCGTTAAGCAGTTATAGTATGCAAGCTGTTCAGAAATAAAGTGGAACAGTAACGAGTGCTAAATCCGAAAGATAAAAAAGATCATCATCAAGAAATCATAAACGTTCAATAATAAGGATTCGAAATTATGTCGGAACTAATATCCTGAAATATGATGCAAGTCGATGTAATGTTTGTGTTACACAAGTGATTTGTTTTGTAATGCGGAAATGATATGATTGAAGCAATAGAAAGAGAATGAGAGAACGACTTGTGCACGATGGTTACTTTCATTTCAGTAAGTGGTAAATAAACCGGGTCAAGGAGTAGCCCAATTCGGTGACAGATTAATTACCAACGGGAAACAATCGTTCTAACACCTTCATGGAAATGATTACGTAAACAAACACACAGATCCTTTTATTGATGATTACTGATCGGATGAAATGAAATCCAGGAACACAAGATGCGTAATTTTTTATTTATGTTAAAGAAATTACTGGTGGTGGATGACTGTAGCATCGGTGATACTTGGTTCATCTATTTGTTGATATGATAGATACACAGTTCAGAACCAAAGGGTGTTACATTCTAGAGGTTTATATTAAAACTGCCTCATCTACTGACTTTCATTGTTTTCTTGGTCAAAGTGTTACTGATCTTTTAGATACGGAATAAAAAAAATATTTATAGGAATTGGCTATTTTTTTAGTCTAATTTGTTCTTCCATTTTTTTGGAGTAGTTGCTTTATGGATGACAACTTCGCCATAAGAAAGAGTAAAAAATTGGCGATATAATGTTTCGAGAAGTTGATGTCTTTAACCGAATTTCTGAGTTCTTAAGATACCTTGATATAAATTCTACTGATTGTTCAGGATTTTCCATATTGTGTTTGTTGATGGTCATATCCTGGCTTATTAGCAATCGAGAAATTCGTAACTAATATTTCATTATATATAAGTAGTAGTGGAATGAATAATATGTTGAGGAGATACAGTATACATCAATTTCTCCAAAATGATGGGATGAATGGATGAAACAGGAGTGTGAATAATGTAGGGATTGATTATGTAACGCTAGTAGCAAGAAATGATAACAGTGATATTAATGGAAATTGCAATGAGAATAAAATTTTTTTCTTTTTTTTTTTTTTTGAAATAATGTCTATAAAAGTAGTTGGCAGAAGTTGATTTGGGCGTTAATGAATGCTCGAGGGGAGAGAGGACGGGGGGTGAGAAGGAAACTGAGGGGAGGGGAAGGAAGGTGGAAGGTATCATCAACAGAAGACCTTGAAAGGGCGGCCAACCTGTGTTTGCTTTCCCGGTATGAAGGATTGTCCCCCAATTGTTCACATGTGGTTGTCGCTGTTTCTGTTCGTGTATAACGTTTGCAACGGTGTAGGCGCAATTGTCGTTGGACAGTGCTGTCGAAAACGTGGCGTGACGGAGACATGTACACGGATGCTGTGTAATCCCCAGAATCCACCTAATGATTTTGATGTTTATAATATTTTTGAGCGAAAATTGAATTGTCAACCGTATATGAATGCAATCTCGCAATGCTTAGCTGATGGTCGTGATCATATTCATTGCTGTATGAGTGAAGCAAAAGATCGTGATGAAAATGCATGCTTTGGTATGTGCCGTGGTGAGGGTATCGATGGTATTGCAGCGTGGGATAAATATCAGACCTGTTTAGCTATCAATTTACATCCTATGTTTCGCTGTTTTGAGCATGGTTATTTGAACATTCCAACATCACCTGTATCGTTACGTATTGTTTCTAAAAGTACGGATAGTGTCGTTATCGCTTGGTCACCACCAGCAGTTAACTCACATCTTGCTGAGTCATATCAAGTTATCTGTAAAGAAGCTGATAGTGGTTTCATCGAAAAGACCATCAATACTCGAAGTTATAAGGTTACGCTTACAAATTTACACGCTGACAGTAAATATTTGGTATATGTAATTGCGATAACTCGTGATGGACGCCATCGATCATTACCTTCTGAGACCATCCATTTTTATACAGCTGGAGTAGCACCAAGAGTTGTTGCATATCGTGAAACTGTTTCAATTCCTGGTGATGCTTCATCGGTAACAATTGCTTGTCGAATGGAAATGCCCGGTACCACTCATAAAAGTGTTCATTTTGAATGGAAAAAAATGCACGAAAAAACGAGTCATTATGAGAAAATTGGAGGAGATAAGTATAGTTTCACCAATTATATTTCATCTCATGAACATCCACGCCATTATGTTTCTGCTCTTCAAATCAAATTCCTAAAGTTATCAGATTTTGGTACTTATCGCTGTATTGCAACTAATGATTTTGGTAGTTCAAGTGCTGATATTCGAGTGATACAACGTGTGCTAACCTCAGCAACACCGATACCACCAGAACCACCATACATATGTTGTCAACGTTTAGGAATTCGATCACCATGTGTTGCTGTTTGTGGTTCTGAATTTGGTAAGCATGCAGCTCTACGAGCTGAATCATTCATTAATAGTCATTGTGAAGATGAAATAAGCAAATTTCTTACTTGTACAACAGTAGGTGTTGATGAAGGTGCATGCTGTTTACGAAAAAAAGTTCCTGGAATTTGTTTACCACTTTGTGATGGCTTTCAAATGAATAAATTGGATACAATTCCACATGCATGCGCTGTATATACATTTTCCATCTTTCAATGTCGAATGGAAAATGCAGATAGTCGACCAGCAACTGTATCTGGCCTAAAAGCTATTCCAAATTCGGATGGTGATTTAATATTACGTTGGGATTTAACACCACGTGCTGATATGTATCACGTTTATTGGAAGCGTAAATTTTCAACAACATGGGAATTGAGTTCTGTTGTAACAACCAGTAAACGTATTTTTGGTAATGTTGCAAATGATATCGATGAAATTGTTGTTGTTGCATCAAATAGCTTTGGTAATGCTCATCCAGTACGGTTAATTCATAATGATGATAAATGGATCGCTTCCTATCATTTCCAGTTTTGATCTCAACATTCAAAAAATTTTGTTATCATTTTTTTGATAAATTGGAGTGTTATCAACTGAAATTTCATATAACTCAAAATTTATAATTATTTTCATTTCATTTTATTATTTTCTTCTTTCCTCTTAGAACTTGATACAATGCTAACTGATCTCGTATCTTCATATACTGATGCTAATCTGAATAGCATCATACACAGATGACAACAATAAGCTAATAATCTAAGCTATATGCACCATTCGTAATAAATTGCAAGCAAAAGTACTAAATAGTGCGATATTTGCAATTTGTCCTCTTCTCTTCATTCTCATTCCTTACAACATGCGAGCCCCATGTAGTTTGCGACATTTGACCTTCACCTGTGAAGACAATTGGTTCATGTGAAAACAAAGATGATGATAAACGTGGAGCGTTAAGTGTTACCTAGCGCATATGTAATGCAATGATATGAAAAATGTAATAAGAATAATGATAAGCACTTTTTTTTTTTTTTTTTGCTTTCTTTTTATTAAATTCAGAAAATCAATTCGAAAAATATCCTACTGTTGATCTAACCTTTTTTCTTTGTTTCTAATAAATTCTGTTTATCTTTCGGATTATTCAGATATGTATTTTCAGGTAGTTATAGCCTTCTTTATGAGGCATTTAAAATAACAAATGTTTAATTGTTCTATTTTACCCTAATTGTTGATTAGGTTATGAATTTTTATTAGTATATAAATTTTTTACATTTCGATCTTGTTTATTTGATTAAATAAGTTTTTTTTTTTTTCACATTATAATTAAAGTGGATAATTTTTTTTAGTAATTATCAGAAGATAATATTGTTGCTATTATCATTTGCTGGTATGTACAGTGGTTGTAAACTAATATATAATGCAGTAGAAGTAATGCTTGTATTGTATGAATCGAAATGCGAAATAAATTTTCATCTAATACACATTGCAACTATTACAGCAATTACAAAAATGCAATTACAAATTATTCTTTGCACGTTTTCTTAAATTAATTAATGGCTGAAATTTCCAATTACTTAATTTAAAGTGAGCGATAATAATTGTTTTATGCTTTATTCTTCCCCCCATTTCCATAATATGCAAATGATTATAAATTAACAAATTAACAGGTGAAATATAATTTATTGGCTATTTCCAGTACATATTCTTTACTATCTTAAAAGATACATTTTGAATAAAACCTTTAGTTATGCCAATATATTTAAAATAAGCATCAATTTGCCTTCTAATGGATACTTTTACGTCTTTTTATTCTAAATAATGCAATTTAATCAACTTTGTTTGTAAATTCATAATATTTAAAAGCGGCAAAAAAGAAAATAAAACTATCAAATTTTGGTTTCATCAAATTTTCTCATTCATATTTAAAAAAAAAAAAAAATATGCCGATTAAGAGATAATTCTCTAAATTATGGTAATCTAATGAAGTGGCAATACATCTTATGTGTGCCCTATTTTGATTTCTGATATGTGAAAAAAAAAAAAAAAGAGATCAGAATTAATTGTTTGATTGAGATGATAAGGAGAAAAATTGATGCATTTGGGTAAACTGAGAATAATGGGTACAATTAGAGTTTACTGAAAGATATTGCAGATGGAAATTGTTGTGGGGATTAACGGAATGAGAAGGATGATAATAGTGGTAATTGTACATGGATTTACATCATAATCAGTATATGTTTAACGCGATCTTAGGATTACTAGCATAAGTGGTCGATGAGGCAGGTTTTTTTTACGTGATAGCTAAAGAAATTGAGTTTGATAGAAGTTACGTGAAGTGTGATGCAATTTAGAGCAAATTAAATGTGATTTGAACTTTCAACTAAAGTAAAATGATGTATTCATGAGATGTATTAAAAAAGGTGAACATAAGTTTTTTGTGGTGTATAAAAATTAATACTGTTAAATTCCAAAATGTGAGTGCTAAAGTTACAAGCAAGCATGTAACAATCGTAAATTACCCATTATGAGATTTGTAAATCTTATTCAAACATATTTGCATCAAACGCAATTATGCAGTTGGCAGTTGCAAATATATTTTTGGATAAAAATAATTAGTGCTTGTGTCTTTGTTCCCAAAAATAGACAACTTGATAAGATTTTTTTATGATTATTCGTAATATCTCAAACTGTCTGTTTGCTTGCATGCACGAAATAAGAGTTTTTATTTTTATTTTATATGTAATTTTAAAACGTTTCCCAGTTGATTTTTTTGATTAACATAAACTTTCAACTGTAAGTCTTTTTAGCCATTCTCTCTAAAAATTTAATTGACTTCTTGAAAGATGTAAATTCATGTTGACTCTCAGCATAAAAATATTCTTATTGTCTTCTGATGATGAAAGATGTAAATTCTTTTTATGATAATGTTGACTCTCAGCATAATAACATATTCTTATCTGTCTTCCCGACAACTGATGATGAAAATAAAGGATTAAGATTTAGTCATCCACATCCATAAGTTCGACTGGTTTCAGATCTCTGATGAAGACATAGAATGGCAGAAGATATGAGCATCTCAAGTGGATGGTGAAGTATGATTAGAAGAAATATTAATAACCAATACAGAAAAAATTGAAGCGATGCAGTAGCAAATTCGATTATTATTTCCTATGCATTTTAAAAGAAACAATTAAAGATTCTTTATTGATACAGCAAAAAAAAAAACTAAGTTTTGATACAGTATTCTGTGAAATTCTATATCAAATTGTTTATTTCATGTAAGTTTTATTTGTCGTAGGTGATGATGAGTCATGATGGTATCAGTGATGATGACACCTAGACAAGAAGTTCAGTGTCTTCAATTTGTCCTCAATTGAAGTCCTTCCGAACTAATTTGAAAATCCATTGCAAGTATACATCGGTAGTAGGCCTTTACACAGTTATACGAGAATCGAAAGGTTCCGTTTCAATTGGTTTTTTTCATAAACGTAAATATAGATGAATGCTTGAACATGCTTTTTGATAAATTCAGAACTGATCAACTTCCAAAATTTCATCCATTATCCTCACTTTATTTTAATATTTCCCAATATCCGGTTCCGGTCATAGCTTTAGCTCCATGAAAAAGGTAGAACTCGAGTGCTGTGATGATGTTTATTCATGTATATAATTTTTTTTTCTTTTTTAAATACCGTATGCAGATCAGTTACGTCGTTTATTTTCAGATTTCTATCAGCAGTATTACTACGGACAGCAATCCAGATCACTTACTTGGAAAAATGTAATATATTTATATTGCTAATATTTTTCTTTTTTGTTTTTTGTTTTTCGCTAAGTTTGTATTTTAGGTAAATAAAATCACTGCTAGGATAACATATTATTATTTTCTAAACATTCTCAAAAGTATTTGCTACAAATAACAGTAATAAATAATATCCAATTTGTTTTACTTTTCTTATTCTTTTGTCTTTTTTGACTTTTTTTCTTATTTCATTATTTCTTTATTTTGCTTTTTAACTGCTTGGGAGTCTGATGGAATGATTTCACCATACGTGGTCAAACTCAAATCACAAAAGTTGAATCACAGAAAGTCGAATCACAGGAAACTATAATCTGCTGTTATATGAACACAAAAAAAAAAAATCTATAAAGTTGAAAGCCAATTGAAAGCTCACACGCTGTGTTTTTCCAGTTCACAATAATGTTTGAAAAATCTAACTTTCATGTAAAAAATGAGCATGTCACGAAGATTTAGCAACATCAGACGTTTCCTCTTCAGGCATTGCTTGTCGAGAAAACCGAGAAAAATAGAGAAAAATAAAATTATACTAAACCCATAGAACTAAAGATTATTCATTGAAATCATTAATTTAATACTCATTTCCCATACAAGCTAAGCTTATCTGCATTGTTTGTTAGCAACGAAAATGCATTGGAATTTGTCCCTAATTAGATTGTTTACAATTATCAGTTCCTTTTATTTAGTTGACCTCTTTTATTGTTTGTTGCTTCCTTACTAATTGTAAATTATATTAGAAATTGACAAGGTTAATAGCACTTCGTTTAGCTCTTTTGACCTCCTTTGCGGTATTATAAAATCACTGTTATGAGTTAATGCTTACTACATAAGAGTTATAATCTTTATTGAGGTTAAGTTCTCTGAATAAAACTAATTCCTCACACTTTCTAATATTGTTTAGCAATTGCAATCAACGATAATTTTTATCTCAATAAAATAAAAATTGATCAAACATCGTCTTCTCTACAAAGCAACAACTATTCGGCGCTCTAATCTACTTCAATCAGATCCTACTCCACGACACTAACAAACTTTCGGCAGTAGTGCTGCTAATTGATATTCCAAGTTATATATTGAGAGTATGCTGATAAACATATAAACAGCAACACCAATTATAGAAATCTGAAAACAAACAGTCAAAATGACGTATAAGTATAGATATGTTTTAATTTATCACGGAGCTAAAGCAGAGATTGGAACTGGTTATCTGTCAATATTAAAATATTAAAATAAACTAAGGACTCACCATCCATTTGAGATGCTCATATCTTCTGCCACTCTTCGTTTTCATCATAGCTTCATCAGAGATCCGAAAGCAGCATCAATCGTCGAAATATCCATCCAAAATTCATATTTCAGATATTTTACTGCTTTCTACTTCGTTTGTCACCGTTATCTCGACAAATTCGCCTATGGCTTTCTCATAATTTGTCAAAAATAATCTTACATTCATTTCATTTTCAGTGCAATTCCGTTTTCTTGAAAGATCATGGCATGCTTATAAACTTTTTTTTTTATTTTTTTGCTATACTTTGTAGAATTGGTTAAGTTAGGAGGGTGAGAAAAAGATTTCAAAATTATGTAGGCATATGTTAATTTCCAAATAGTTAATCATGAAATGAGTTCCAAGCTAATAGTAGGATCTATTTTTTATGAATGATTCAAACAAAGAAAAAAAAACAATTTTTTTTTAAATATTGGACAAATATTTAACAGCTCTTTTATAAAGCCTATTATCCATTCC